GCTTTGATTTTGGTATATAATCAGTGTAAACAGGCTATTGCAACATGACAAAAACACCAAGAATGCTTTACTTTTAGTTAATTTCTTTATTTTGCCTTGTAGCTTGAACATACCAAGACATAAGACCAAATATAGAAAATGATATAACTCACAACACTAAAATTGACACACTCTTATTTAGTGCAAAACATCAGTGTAGCTAAATGCAAATAAACTATTGTGTCCAAATGAAATTAACACTACAGTGCACTTCCAAAACATTCAAATGCTCAAAATCTTTAGTGTAAATGTGAAGCAACTGACCAACTTATGGCATGTAACTTGTTAAGAACAAAATGTTTAGAAATAAAAAAATCCAAAGGGTGAGATCAGACTGGTTAACCTTCTCTTCTCTTAACACACTCACTAGGTATGGGCCACAAAACATTTCTGGCTTCTTCTGGCTGCACTGCCTATGCAACTAATCATAGCTTAACGTTATACTGTAAGTCAACACATCCCAGACTCTCAAACCAGTGTAACGTTATAACTAAATGAAACTGTAACGTTACATAAACAACAATAATCCTGTAACCTGTTTGTAGACAACGGGCAGCCAGCGGCACGTAAATGATTAACGTTACGTTAATCGACCACCACAAGTTTGGCAATTAAACAATCGCTCATTCATATTTCATAAGGAAGACAATCGGAGTTAACCTCCCGTAACGTTAGGTAGCTAAAGCAATAAGCAAGCTAACGGTAGATGGTCAATGCTGAGCTAAACATGTTTACTCACCTATCAGGGTGCGTTTTCAGACGCCTGATAAAATTAGATGTAGTTGAGCCAGAATCTTTTATCGTGATACTGCATCATTTGCATTGAGCGCTTCTTTTGAGCGCGTCTTGTTTGAAGTTTTTGAACCTAAAGCTAACGATGAATGGCACAGCAGCGGCCGGTGCAGTCGAACTTTTTGTTTGTTATCCTCTCATGGTCGCGCGCGCGCTGCCAGCAATAGGACGTAGTACGTGGTTACGTAGGCAGGTTATAGGTAACGGAGGGAGGGGGATAACAGCGAGCTCATCAGACGTTTCCTAAAAATAAACATTGTTCACGAGTCCCGCAGCTCGAGTCCGAGTCGAGTCTGAAGTCTTTCGAGGACGAGTCTCAAGTCGAGACTGAAGTCACTGTGTGTGGGACTTAAGTCGCACTCGAGTCCGAGTCTCAAACTCGAGTCCCCATCTCTGACATAAACCCCTCTGATTTTCTTTTTTTCTTTTTCAAATCAAAGTTTTTGATGATGTGATTCAACTTAGTGCTAGTTGTTGGTTGCTTCATGTTTTTTTTTTTATTGAGAATTTCTTGTTAAATCCCAATGAAGAAAATTAAAAGTACTTCAGGAAGCAAGGCCATCCGTCAGAAGAGAGAAAGATTTTTTTCTTCAAACTTTTCGTCGCTCCCTCAGCTGAAACACCATCACAGCATTGTTAGCAAGTTTATGTTATTTAAGACCTAGTTCAGTGGTTCCCAATCCTGGTCCTGATACCCCCAGCACTGCACAGTTTAGATGTCTCCTTAAATCAAACACACCTGATTCAACTCATCAGCTCATTAGTAAAGACTCAAAAGACCTCAGATGGGTGTCCATTAAGTGAGACAACCACTGTTGGGAACCACTGGACTAGGTAATATAACACAAAGTATAGTGTTATAAACGTAAATTAAAAATGAAAACTAGATTTACAATGTTAACTGTTGAAATGTCATCACAGTCTGTGAAAAGGGTCCATTTTGATTTGGAATGTACATGCTATAACTGAAGAATATTTTTATTGTTCAGGCAAAGGATCTGACCAGCAGTCTTCTGAACAATATGACATCTCTGAACAACCTCGGTTTAAACTCTGGGACCAGGACGATGCCCCTGCAGGGCGGCACCATTTCCTCTACCTTCCCAGCAGCACCCACCATGGGTGGAATGGGCACCATGGGCGTCTGCAACGGCTTCAATTCACCCATGGGATTCCAGACGGGAGGTATGGTGATGGCCATGAGACCTGCCACTCCTGGCCTCTATGGAGGGATGGCCACCACTACCAGCGCTCCAAATTTCAGTGCCCTCACCCAAAACCAGAACCAAAATCAAACCGGTAAACCCCCTGACATGTCCGCCCTAGACTCCCTCTTCACTTCTAATAAACCCAAAGTCAGCCTGAACCAAATGGCCCCTAAACCGGCCCAAGGAACCACTGCACCTTCTCCTTGGCTTAATCAGTTTGGTACAGGCCAACCTTCCCAGACTGCACCCATACAGGCACCTCCAATGGGGATGACGGGAGTTCAAGGTGGTTTTGGAATGCAAGCAAACCCATTCTTCAACCCCCAGAACTTCTCGCAACCCGTGGCTTCTTCCACAATGAATACTGGCATGATAAAGCAAAGTGCTTCAGTCAACAACGATTTTAAGGACCTCTTCGGATAAAACATTTGCCTTTCGTTCACATTCCCTGTTATGTGGGAATCGAAAGCGAAACAACATCAGCAGCGAAGATGACAGTCAAAATTTAGTTGGAGGGTTGGACATGGTATCCTTGAAAGATGATTTTGTTTTGGTTTTTGTCTTTTTTGGGGGGGATCTTATCATGGCGTGACTCATGTGGACTTGTGTGAATCAAAAGCAGACTGCACCAAACAAACTATCACATTTCTACTGAAAGCTTGGGCTCTTCTACCGAAAGCTGCTTCAGTTGGTGGATGCCTTGCATTTGGTGTATCGTTTGGCTTAAAACGCGCCCCAGAAGAAAGATTCTCGTACAAAAGGGTAAGGGTTAACAAATTTGAGGTTACAAACTCAAGCATTTTTGGTTTCATTTCCTTTTTGCTAGAGCCTCACGTTCACTGCTCGTCTGAATGAGCTGACTTCCTCTACCACAACAAACATCATCGATGGCCTCAGAAATGGCTGATGTTGTCTCCCAAAAGGAGGTCTCTCAGTTGTGTTCTCCCTTGTCTGAGATATGCGATGGATAAGTAAAGAAATAAGTACAGTGCATAGTTGGTACCTGAATGAGTCTTTTTATAATGTGTTATTTGTGTATATACTGTATCTGGTGTATTATTGTTTGAGTTTTATACTGATAAATGATCCACTGAGGTGAAATTTATTAAAGGAAGTACACTCTCTTCATACTGTAGGTGCACTTAATGTAATAGAGCTTAAAAAAAACCTGTAGGGTTTAAGATATTTTTGGGATATTGTCAGTACTTTTAAAGTGGGTTTGTGCTTCACTGGAATGGCTTCGTTCATGAAACACTAGCAGAATGAATTTCTGTAAATTCTGTCAATCTTGGGTCAATCTCATGAAAAAGGCTCATATTTCATCCCAAAATCCAAAGACAAATTTACAAGGAAGTTTTTTTACAATAAAAAGGACTTTTTTTTCTTTTGCAAGTTAGCGTATTATTAAATTCAGTACAGAACTTTATATTTACTTTACAATTGTCATTGTATTCTCATTATTGTAATGAGAGAATGTGCATTTATTACACTTACACATTTTTTCAGATTGCAGTAATGAAAATATTTTTGCATTACGGTAATGAGAATGTTTTTTTTATTTTTTTTTACCTATTACAGAAATAAGTTTTTTTTTTACAATACAGAGATGTGTTTTATGGTATTGAGAATTCGTTTTATTGCATTGCATAATGAGAATTGGTGGAAAATATGCTTAATTGTCAAGTACATTTCACAATGCAACGGGTTAGAAATATGCTTCTTTGTTTAAAAATATATATAATTTGTGCATTTTGGGATGAAATATGCATTTCCTGTATTTCTTGGGAAAATCACTGTTATATGTGGTAAATTGTAGGATTAAATTGAGTGCAACAACGTGTACTAAGTTGTAACATAGAAATGTGTGTTTCATGAATGAAGCCCGATGCGTTTGTTTCCCTTTCCGTTCTCTGCTGTTACTTCCTGCCCTGTGTTAAATCATCTGTGTTATCCTGTAATGTTGTGTTTTTTGGGGGCGTTGCATTTGGCTACATTTTTGTTTGTCTGTTATTATTATATGGGCAGTTTCCTGTTGTGGGAAGAGACCAACTCAATTCCATATCATGTTATATTCCATATCATGACCAAACCGCTGCAACACAGCAAATCACCAAAATGTGTATTATTTCTGGAAAAGAACATGAATGAAGTGTACAGTATATAGGGGTGAACTGCCACCACTTAAGGAGTTTTTCTTTTTTTTTAATACTGATGAATCACTTTCCTGAGGAGAATCTTTAATATCCAGACAGGTTTTATTAAAAGGGAATGCTTTTCCTGGTCTTATGAATGAGAGGCCTTATGTTGAGAATTGTGCAATAGCAGGTCTGTGATGGAGATTGTGAAAATAACTTTCTGTATGAGTGTTTCACTACATGCAGTTTTCAAATAGTCTAAATTAATGTAGATAAAACATCTGGGTTGTTTTAATTTAAAAAATGTGAACTGGATTGCTGGAAAGATGGTGATTTTTTGGAATCAAATAAATTGATTATTTAAAGGGTAATACCTTTACACTTCCTACGTAATTTTTTATTTTTATTTTTTTGAGTATTGAAAAATTGATTTCCTTAAAAAAACAAGTAGAATAAATTATTTTATGGATAAATAATGTTTATCAGTAAGAAACCAACAACAGGTGGTCTAGCTAGGCTTTACTGAGTGGTAAGAGAAATTAGACAGACATTACAAATGTTTATTAGTAGATCTCATGAAATTTGTCTAGAAAAGTGCATATTTCACCCCAAAATCTTAATTTTTATAAGGAAATTAAGTCTTATTTGTGGACCTTTAAAATTTACATTGTTTCCATGAGAATTAAGCACATTTCAGTAAAGAGGAAAAATGAAACAAAAAAAACAAAAAAACATGAAAGCTGAAAGCAATCATAAGATATTACACATGCAATCTTCTAATAACAGTAAACTTTTAAGAATAAAAACAGAAATTAGTTCAAGAACATGATTACCATGAGACCTGTTATTTTGTGGCAGTTAATAAAACAATATAGACACAGGTCTGCATGGACAAACTGAATCTAATTTCAATATTTCATATCACATATTCTAGCAGACATTGCATAAACAAGAGTCCTGAGTTCACAAATAGCTACAAGTAAATGAAGTAAACGTAAGAATAGGCAAGTGAGCTCTTATTGCTGAAGGCGGCGTACAGGTCTCCTGGTGTTAGTGGACTGGTTGGTCTGGGTCATGTCTGCAACAAAACACAAGTGATTTGATTTAACAATATTTGTACTAAATAACACGTATTTCTGTTGGTTTGTGTATGAACGCACCTGAGAAGTCCAGTTCATAGCTAAACCTGCCCGCCCTGAAACTCATTGTCCCTGTGGAGTCCTGCTGGTACTGGGCTTCAATATCTTGACTTGACACACTGCAATGTCGCCGAGAGCTGCCCTACACATCCACAAAGTCCAAGTTTATGACACAGAACAGAAGGTGTGACTGTCTTAGTGTTGTTGTGCAAGAACACAGGTCAAATGTTTTAACATATTTTTGTAAACTGCAGTTAATTTTTTCTGAATATATAACCCCAATACAGTTAGAAGGCCTATTAGATCTAGCAAGATACCACCAAACAGTCACTTATTATAGATCACTTAAGAATGCACTTGTAGCAACTTCTGCAACCATAATTTCATAAAATGTCAAAAAAAAAGAGGGGAAAAAAGGAAGATATATTTACTTTACTAAAATCTTTCCAATTGCCATCCATGTCTTTGAATTGCCAGCGAGCTTGTGACAATGCGCTGTGATAGGAGAACAAACATTAGAACAAAAGTATTTATTGTAATGCATACATAAACAGTCATTTTGAGACTTTCTTAAATGAATAGGAACAGTTGATGTTCCCCATTGACTTCCATAGACAAAAAATAATACTATGGCAGTCATTGGAGTACATTAAATTTGAAATTTTTCGAAATATCTTCTTTTGTGTTCTGCAGAAGCAAGAAATTCATACATGTTTGAAACAACTTGAGGCTGAGTAGATGATGACAGAATTTTCATTTTGAAGTGAACTAATCCTTTAACAATGGCACTTATTTCCGTCATGGAATAAAGATATAAAAAAGATAATTTCAACTTTTTATCTCTCAAGTCTGACTTTTCTTTTCACAATTCTGACTTTTTTCTCAGAATTGCGAGATATAAACTCACAATTGCTTGTTATAAAGTCAGAATTGTGTGATATAAATTCGCAATTGCGAGTTATAAAGTAAGATTTGTGTGATATAAGCTTGCAATTGCGAGTTGTTAAATCAGAATTGTGTGATATAGTCACAATTGCGAGTTATAAAGTCAGAATTGTGTGATATAGTCACAATTGCGAGTTGTAAAGTCAGAATTGTATGATATATTCGCAATTGCGAGTTACAAAGTCAGAATTGAGTGATATAAAGTCACAATTGCGAGTTATAAAGTCAGAATTGCGTGATATATTCGCAATTGCGAGTTAGAGTCAGAATTGCGTGATAGTCACAATTGCGAGTTATAAAGTCAGAATAGTGTGATATGGACTCGCAATTGCGAGTTATAAAGTAAGATTTGTGTGATATAAGCTTGCAATTGCGAGTTGTTAAATCAGAATTGTGTGATATAGTCACAATTGCGAGTTATAAAGTCAGAATTGCGTGATATATTCGCAATTGCGAGTTAGAATTGCGTGATAGTCACAATTGCGAGTTCTAAAGTCAGAATAGTGTGATATAGACTCGCAATTGCGAGTAATAAAGTCAGAATTCTGTGATATAAATTCGCAATTGCAAGTTATATAGTCACAATTGCGAGTTATAAAGTAAGTTTTGTGTGATATAAGCTTGCAATTGCGAGTTGTTAAATCAGAATTGTGTGATATAGTCACAATTGCGAGTTATAAAGTCAGAATTGCGTCATATAAAGTCACAATTGCGAGTTATAAAGTCAGAATTGAGTGATATATTCGCAATTGCGAGTTATAAAGTCAGAATTAAATGTGATATAAAGTCACAATTGCGAGTTATAAAATCAGAATTGTGTGATATATTCGCAATTGCGAGTTATAAAGTCAGAATTGAGTGATATAAAGTCACAATTGCGAGTTATAAAATCAGAATTGTGTGATATATTCGCAATTGCGAGTTATAAAGTAAGATTTGTGTGATATAAGCTTGCAATTGCGAGTTGTTAAATCAGAATTGTGTGATATAGTCACAATTGCGAGTTATAAAGTCAGAATTGAGTGATATAAAGTCACAATTGCGAGTTATAAAGTCAGAATTGAGTGATATAAAGTCACAATTGGAAGTTATAAAGTCAGAATTGGGTGATATGAAGTCGCAATTGAGAGTTATACATTTTTGTCTGAATTGCGAGATATAAAGCCACAATTGTGAGAGAAAAAAACGTCAGAAATTGTGAGAACTCAGAAAGCAGCAGTTATCTTTTAAATTGTTTTATTCCATGGCGGAAACAAGCTTCCATGTTTCTATTTTTATTCCATGGCAGTGGCAGATATTAGCTTCCATATAAATGTCTTATTTTATTAATAGATTCATACCTGTTTGTTTGCTGGATTCCACCAGTGATTCTCCGGACAGCTCTTTTTGTACCATATTTATTGTTCACTTGGTACATTCCTGTAGACATGAAGATAAAGACATAAAGATGAGTAATCAATATCAACATTTTGACATCAAGTTTTAAAACTTTAACACATTTCTCTTAGCAGACATTCTCTATAGGTAGGCCTCTGCTTTTCCCTCATGTTAGCTGTACACTACAGACTTCTATATATAAAGTATCTTACCACCAAAGTAAAGAGAGTAAGAGAATCGTCTTGCTGTGAATGAAACTTGGCACTGAGGGTTGAGCTGATACAACCTCTCGATTTCTGCACTATCCAGTGAACATCCCTGTAGTGACAAAAAAAGTCCAATGAACTGTTAGATTAAACATGTCACTTTCACCCTAAACATTTCAGTTTGAAGGAATAAGTGTATTTGGAAGTAATAACAGTGTTTAGAACTCACTGGTTTTTGGTACTCAGTCCAAATCCCCTCATCACCCATAAACTCCCAGATGTACTGAGAAGAAGAATTTGTTGGGTTTGGCAAGGGAGATGCCAGAATTTGTGAACTGCATGCGATAAAAGGAAATCAAATGGTTTGTCTACAAATACAATTTTAAACATATAGGGAACTCTTCGTGAAAAATGAGCAGAAGGAATTTCTCTATAAATAGTTCGATTAAAACAATCTTACATAGGTTGTAAATAAAGGTACAAATTATTTTACAAGCAGTTTATACGTAAATTCGTATGTTGGCTTCCTGTACAGTGTAAATACCGTGTTGCTATAAGAATTCGTAAAAAAACATTCTTACATAAATGTCTAATTTAGTTTACGTAAGAACTATTTTATGAACAATTTATAAATTTGTAGGTTGGGTTTGTGAAGAGTATGTGATTCTATAAGAATTCATAAAATAGTTTTTACATAAATGTTGCATTTCATTTTCAAAAGAATGATTTTAAGGGTGGAAAAAAATTAGGTTGACTTTCAAATTGAATTTGTGAAAATATTCTAACATGAATTTCGCATTCAATTTACATAAGAACGTTTTTACGAATAATTTATACATACATTTGTTGGGTGACTTCCTGAAGAGTGTCACTACCAAAATTAGTGCAATACTTTTTGCATAAATGTCGCTTTCAATTTACATACGATTTTCTTATACAATAATAGTTTCCAAAAAAGAGTGTAAACAATGTTACGATATAAGACTTTGTAAAACCTTCAATGCCACAATCTACATATGGATTTACACAGTAATTCCTTCTGCTTTTTCATGAACCAGAGGCAATAATACCTAAAAGTAATACCTGTTTTGATTACTGCTGTTGCCCGTTACAATCGCATTGAATTTTGGTCGCCGTCTTACTTTCCTGGACATGTTTGTGGATAGATTTGTTTGAGTCATGGCTACAACATTCCAAAAAAAAAAAACCCATGAAAACAAGTTAGTGGCTTCAAATTTCAAGTGTATCCATTTTTTTGGAGAAAGACACTTTTGTTTCACAGCCATGAAGGTAATCTGTCTCATTTCTCCCATTACCAGTGAAGTCCACGTTGTAAGTCATGCTTCCTGCAGTGAACTGGACTGAGCCACTTGGGTTGCTGTTGTACTGCTGCTCTATAAAATCACTTCCAACTGAGGATGCTCTCCCACCGAATCCCTGCAGAAATCAGAGAGGAAACAAAATAAAGACTGATCAACATACATAATATCTAGCAGGACTGCCAACTTTTGAGTTTAGCTTTCTAATCGAATTTCATGATTCGACTCATGAGCTTGCGATTCAATTTCGATTCGATATACACTCACCTAAAGGATTATTAGGAACACCATACTAATACTGTGTTTGACCCCCTTTCGCCTTCAGAACTGCCTTAATTCTACGTGGGATTGATTCAACAAGGTGCTGAAAGCATTCTTTAGAAATGTTGGCCCATATTGATAGTATAGCATCTTGCAGTTGATGGAGATTTGTGGGATGCACATCCAGGGCACGAAGCTCCCGTTCTATCACATCCCAAAGATGCTCTATTGGGTTGAGATCTGGTGACTGTGGGGGCCATTTTAGTACAGTGAACTCATTGTCATGTTCAAGAAACCAATTTGAAATGATTCGAGCTTTGTGATATGGTGCATTATCCTGCTGGAAGTAGCCATCAGAGGCACTAAGGGGCCTAAAGTGTGCCAAGAAAACATCCCCCACACCATTACACCACCACCACCAGCCTGCACAGTGGTAACAAGGCATGATGGGTCCATGTTCTCATTCTGTTTATGCCAAATTCTGACTCTACCATCTGAACGTCTCAACAGAAATCGAGAATCATCAGACCAGGCAACATTTTTCCAGTCTTCAACTGTCCAATTTTGGTGAGCTCTTGCAAATTGTAGCCTCTTTTTCCTATTTGTAGTGGAGATGAGTGGTACCCGGTGGGGTCTTCTGCTGTTGTAGCCCATCCGCCTCAAGGTTGTGCGTGTTGTGGCTTCACAAATCCTTTGCTGCATACCTCGGTTGTAACGAGTGGTTATTTCAGTCAAAGTTGCTATTCTATCAGCTTGAATCAGTCGGCCCATTCTCCTCTGACCTCTAGCATCAACAAGGCATTTTCGCCCACAGGACTGCCGCATACTGGATGTTTTTCCCTTTTCACACCATTCTTTGTAAACCCTAGAAATGGTTGTGTGTGAAAATCCCAGTAACTGAGCAGATTGTGAAATACTCAGACCGACCCGTCTGGCACCAACAACCATGCCACGCTCAAAATTGCTTAAATCACCTTTCTTTCCCATTCTGACATTCAGTTTGGAGTTCAGGAGATTGTCTTGACCAGGACCACACTCCTAAGCAACTGCCATGTGATTGGTTGATTAGATAATTGCATTAATGAGAAATTGAACAGGTGTTCCTAATAATCCTTTAGGTGAGTGTATATTCATTTGGATATACATGGATAGTACATGTTCATTTTTCTCATAGAAAAAAAAAATCTAATGTTGTTAACTAAACAGGGAAACCTGTCGGCTTGTACATTATTATTAAAGGTTAATCAATAACTGATTTGTATACAATTGCATGACACCATTTTTATAATAATAACATTATATCTAACATAAATATCTAATGGTATTGGAGTAAAAATATAATGAATATGTAATAGTGCTTTTTTTGTGCAAAATAGCCTACTCCTCTCTAGAGTAAATTTTTCTTGCTAACTATAAAGTTTATGGATTTATAGCTTTTCTGAGATAAATGTAATGTAACCTGACACATTGTTTACATGCGGTTTTATCCGTAGTTGAAACACTGAGCGATTATATAAGATATGAGACATTTATTTTGTACAGTAACTTGCAGTAAAAAGGAAGAGATGATCGTTCAATTGCACTACCGCTTTGCTTGAACTGAGGCGCAAAATTTGAAGGTTGAGACTGTTTCATATCGAAAATCTTGTCTATCAGCACATTGTCGCATGTTTTTTCACTCCGTGAGAATATGGATGTGTGGCGTAATGAATATAAGATATTTCTAGAACCACTTACCTGAGATCCATATTCACACCAGCGATGGTTGTCTTTGTAGTACCAGCCTACTTCTTGTTTCTGGTTAGGAGACAGCAGTGTATTGCGCCGTATACTAAGGTTACGAAGAGATCCACTGACTGTCATTTCGTCAAAGTCAACATTGACGGCCCTGTGCAATGAATGGGAAGGCTTAAATTAATATTTAAAGGGATAGTTCACCCAAAAATGAAAATTCTGTCATTAATCACTCACCCTCATGTCGTTCCAAACCGGTAAGACTTTAGTTCATCTTCGGAACACAAATGAAGATCTGCTTAATAAAATTTCAGAGCTTTCTGTCCCTCCATAGAAAGCTATGCAACTACTACTTTGATGCTTCAAAAAGTTCATAAAGAGATTGTAAAACTAATCCAAATGAATTGAGAGGTTTAGTCCAAATTTTCTGAAGAGACATGATCGCTTTATATGTTGATCAGCGAACATAAACAGAAGCTCAAATGAACCTGCTTGACGCGCGAGAACAAACCTCTTGTGGAAGCTCAAACGTGTTGCGTAACATGAGAATGAACCTCATTGGTTCTTGCAGAAGCTCAAACGTGCTGCTAACACTAGAATGATAAGTGGTAGTTGCTTAGCTATCTATGGATGGACAGAAAGCTCTCAGATTTCTTCACAAATATCTGCATTTGTTTTCCGAAGATGAAAGAAGAGTCTTGCGGGTTTGGAAGGACATGAGGGTGAGTAATTAATTTTAATTTTTGTGTGAACTAACCCTTTAATCCTATACAGAATATATGAATAAAAATACTTTAATATATGACTGGTAGTGTATAACAATAATACATGCATACAAACATAATCAGTGAATGTAAAGTCAAAATTAAACTGATAAAATAATCTCTGCAAATGTTGAAGACGTGCAAACGTAACCCTATGTTGAAGTAGATGGTGATCCCATTCGCCCCTGGCTGACAGTAATGAGCCTCAATGACAATATCATTAGAGATAGAAGCCCACTGCGTTCCATTGAACAGCTGCCACTCAAAGTGGTTACCTGAGGATTTGAATGAATGGATGACTGAATTAATGAATGAATGCACTGAAAAAAATGAACAATCAGTCAATCACTCCATGTGGTAGTGTTCATTTCTCATTTAGTTATTATCCTAATAAAGAAATGATTTAGTCAGATCCCCTTATATTTGCTGCAAAAACAGAAACCAACAAAAAAATTATAAATATAAGCCAAGACTTACCTGTCGCCATGTTGTTAATGCTGCTGTGTCCTCCCGAATAACGATAGCCTAGAGTTATTTAACCATTTATACTTATATACTTTTCTGTTATATAAATACAAATGTCAACACAGTGTGTGAAAAGTACTGGATCAAATTGAATCCATCAATTAGCCTACATGATTCAAAAAGGTAGCCTAAATGAGAATAATTGTCACCCACCTAAATCATAATAGCTGGCATCCTCTTTAGCTCCTTTTCTCTTCACACTACTAAACAAATAGACAAAGACAGCTATTCAGTAGAACAGTTTATGAAACAGGTTTGATTTAAGTAGGCCTACACCAAGTAAGATTTTAAACTGCATACAGATAATGTGTTTAAATAGGCCGTAGTAAACCGCACAGTTCTATCTCAAAAGTTACATATATATTTTAAACATGTTGGAAAATCCGTTCCGAAAGAGTTGACCAGGGGCGTAGAATTTAGTAGGGACGCTATAGGGACGTGTCCCTACCAATATCCAGTGACATTGATATATCCCTAGCAATAATTTCGATCAAAACTTAAAATATATTTATACATTGATGTCCCCGTCCCATTTCAAAATCAAACCTATACGCCACTGGAGTTGACCATAAACAGACTGTCCTTTGGACTCAAGATCATGAAACTAAGTGCTTCATAGAAAAAGAATGTAATGCTGATATTTCGACATACATATTCACCTTTTAACTATAAGTTGTTAGATACAAAATCGCTATTTCAAAATCGACTGCCTAAAGTCGCACAAAACACAAGATATGTTTGATAACCTCGCGAATGTTTGATTGTCATTTTCACGTAACACTTAAGGAATATTTCATTAAAAAAATGAATATTGTGAGAAATTGATTAGCCTAACGTAAAACCTAAGCACTTCACTTTTTCCTACGTCACAAGAATGCACGATGCACTATTTTTAATAATGCACTTTAATCTAAAAATGTAAACAGAGAGAAAATACAAATACAGTCTACAATAAAATGCAGATAGAACATGAGGGACACAAATGGTTCCCGTTTTGATGAATAACCCAAAATTTACATCAATTTAATCAGATCTGCGATTGAAGCTGTTGGAACCTCTCGGAGATGTTGTTAGATAAGGTCATGAAATTATTAGTGTTGTTAATTTAAAGTACTTAAAGGGTTAGTCTACTCACCATATATGCTTCCTAGACACTGTAATACATCGGTAGCATATTTAAAATCTAATAACGTATTTGTCAAGTAGCCTAAACAGTCGAATGTTTTGTTCGCATTTAAACGGCACCACAGCTGACCCAGTTTCGGTTTCTTTTCTGGTTTGTGTGAACAAACAGGGAGTGTTGTTACTGACTGTATTTACATATCTTTCAGTGCTTAAAACGACTTTAAGACGACGATGACGACCTGTTGTATGTCTATAGATGTAGAGGCTATTTACAATTTATATATAATATAGCCTATATAATTTTTGTATGTGGGCCATTTCTAACCGAGTTGTATTTGTTGTCAAATTATGCAAGTGTGAAAATGATTTAATTGTGTGTTTTACGCAAAATAGGCTACTTAAAATTAGCCTAGAGTAGACAAAGGTTCTGCCATTTTCTTTCGAACATTTCTTTAAACATTTTTTTTCATTCGAACGTCATTTCCACAAGTAATGCTGTCAAACATGTCATTTGAGATATGATTGAAATTATCGTCATTAAAATACTATAAATTAGCATTATTACATATTCAGTGTGTTGTAGTTAAATAAGGACACATCATTTCATATTTTTTATTTATTTTTTAATCAAGTGTAGCACAACATCCATGCACTTCCACAAACTCTTGCATAGCATGTTGTTGCTGTCAGGTTTGGTTTTGGTTCATTGCATAACTTGACTTGACATGATATAACACAACAAGAGACTGTGGAAACATGAGGTCAATAATACAGAGACTAATGACAAGACACAAGGATGAGTGTAATGAACAAGGATGAAATAATGAACCATTGAGAACACATTAAACAAGGAAGCTAATGACGTGATCACAAGAGGACAAGGGAATCACATGACAAAGGGGAGCAAAAGGCAGGATAACATAACTAACCCACAAAGATAAGACATGAAACAAAACCAAAACTAGACATGACAGTTGCATTTAAACAGTTCAGTTTGTAATCAATTAACCCAGTGAAAACAGCTTCACACAAATGATTGTCGTTATGTTGTAATTTCATGTAACGGCAATTCACTTTTGTAATGTAAAAATATTCACTCGGTATTCACACAGTTTTATTGTGCATCCCTGAATCCACATTTATAAAATAACCAAACATGATAAAATTTTAAAATATAAATTTTTCAAATTAAACAAGCAAAATATATATGCTTCCTTGTGCTTGTTTTTTAGTTGATGTGGCAAGCAGCATCCCAGACAGCAACGTAGTGTCGGCCACATCTGGTACACATAGAACCAGATGTGGGCCGGATCTGGGCCGACACTACGTTGCTGTTACATTGGTATTACATTGGTATTTCAAATAATTCATATTTACATAAAATAAATCAAAATGACTGAATTAACCAGTTCAAATTTCCCACAGGCAGTTTACCAAACAAAAAAGTGATTCCTGTTAAAACATCCTAACTCCCAATCACAAACATTCATTTCATTCAGTCATAATTACTAAATAACAACATGATTCGACTCGTATTTGCTGTTTGATCTTGAGTATTTGCCAACATCCGTTGCAAGACATTCAGCCGCCTTTTACGCACGCCTGATCTTGCGTTCGGCCTTAGTGTTCTGGTTAACTTGTCTCAAATCTAAATTAAAAAAGAAAAAGACAAAGCATCTTTTATCATATTAAAAAAATCATGTTCAAGAAGATAGTAATGTTAATAAACCCAAAGATCGTGTGGTGCCTTATGGTACTGACAAAAGAAGACATTTAAATGTTTCACATAGTTTCTAAATGCTTTTGCTGACATACTTGTAAAATCCAGAGTGTAAGGGTCATGATTCACAGTGAAATCCATGGTCGCTTGCCTCTGTTGGTAACACCTCTCAATGTCAGCACTTGAGACTGAACAACCACTCTATTGAAAAACAATATCAAGATCAGTCACAGCAATTTCAATCTCTCTGTGTCGTTAATTAAGGGCTAATGTACATTCATTCATAACCCTTCAGGAAGATCAGGACTGGTATTGCATCACCCTGAAGGGTTTTATATTGCAATAATTACTGGTTGAATGCACATTCCTGCTTATTATACGGCTATCAAATATAATAAGCATGAGATATTTGATAGCCTTTACATGGTCATGAAAACTTTAGTTAACGTTTTTGTATATAATATTTTATATATAATATTTGTATTTTGCAACACAATACAATATTAGCTTAGTATTATTGAGATCCTATTATAGTGGGTTTCTGCAGGTTTTATGAAGGTAAATTTAAGCGTTTTAAAGACCTTTTAAAGACCAAAATGTAAGGAATAAATTGAAGGCAACACAATACGTCAATATGTTCTCGAAATGTAAAAGTCTAGGGAGAAACACAATGAGTTGTGTTGGCAACACTTCAGAGTTTGAAAATACATTACTATCCATTACTTGAATCGCTTTGCTCCCAACCACTAGAATATGGAAATATCTTTTACCATATCTTCTGATCACACGGCAAAAAACAAGTGATGTTCTTCTTCCTCAGTATCTTTGTCTTGTTTTCCAGTGCAAATATCTAAAGATTCTTAAATCAAGATACATTTACTGGAGATACAAAATGACAGAATATGAAGTATTGTTCACTGAGAAATGGATCAAAATTAACTTTTGAGTTTATGATTAAAACAAATATCTGCACAATGGGCTTGAAAAAATTGATAGATATGTGTTCTTGTTCAATTTTTCAAGTAAATGTATCTTGATTTAAAGATGCTTAGATATTTGTCGTGGAAAACAGGAACTGAGGAAGATATACATTTTTTGCAATGTTTGCAACATTTCATGCCACTGCTTTATTAATTTAAGACGTTCTGCTCTGATTAAGTCCTTTTTAAGACCTTAATTTGTGTAAGGGCGAATTAAGACCTTTTTAAGATCCGCAGAAACCCTGTGGTATTTTTTTTTTTTTTTTTTTAATTTTCTATATTCATTTTAATTCGTTTTTAGTCATTTTGTTGTTCGTTTTTGTCATTTTTATTCATTTTTTCATTTTTATTTATTATTATTAATTCAAGTTAAATGCTGTCTTCACCCCATGCCGTAATTACCGTATATGACAACACGTGACTTTCTATTCGGAGTTGTTCACATCCTCACACTTGGAATTATGTGTTTCTATGGCGACACTATCAACAGCAAAATGAATCTGACTGCAGCGGTCACGTGGTACAAGTCGGAGCACTCAGAAACGTCCCAGTTTAGAAGTTGTATTTGGGTACGGTACGGTAAACTAAAAAGAACGTTTACACGAGACACCGCTTTCTACTAAAACGTTTTTGAAACCGATACCGTTATAGCCTCGATGTAAACTACAAAAACACCAATTTGTGAAACGTTAACGTCATGCGCATGTGTATTACTTGTTCAGTCTATAGGCTTTAGTTTTTCATTTCGATCTGTGTGAACGGGGATCATTTTTACAACGTTGTCGACTGTACATGAAAAGTGCAAAGTAAAAAGTTTTCTGAAAATTTAAGTCATTTCATAAAAAAAAAAAAAAATACTAAAGCCCTCTGAGGCTGTTTTTACTACAGCCATCAACCGTTTTGAGTCGCAAAAGGTGCAAATTATCATTTCTAACTTGTGGTTTAAACAGAGACACAAAAGATCAAATATAGTGTACAATTTGTCAGTCATTATACAAAATATTACCAGTCCAGAATCAAGTATTTTAGAGAACCGTGTGGTGTAATCAATATACTCATAAAAATTGTCCTCAAAGTCCTCGTTTTCATACTAAAAAAGCATTGTGTATTTGTAAATAATCAAAGAAATAAAGAAGTTTTACCGTGTTGCTGAAGGTGTACCACTGATTTCTCCCTTTAAACTGCCACACTGGAGCTTTATTTGTTGGAGGATTCAATAGGTTCTTGATATGGGAAGTTATTCCTTGTAATCTGTTTTTTTTTAGCACATTACACTGTTAGTAGTGTAAGTTATGTGCATTACTTTAAAACAATAATGCAAATCAATTTAAACACAACCAATTTTACTTCTGAATGAAACAGAAAAAAAACATTTTCTGTTTGAAAACAATGGAAAAAACATTGAATGCTTTTTTGTTTTTGCAATGGACTGAATGGAGAAAAGTGGGCGTTATATACCCGAGTAGCACTTTTTTTTCAATATGCCATTATAAATTAGATTGTAACGTGATAAGGCAAAGAGTCAAACATGAATCTGTTCAGTATTTACCCTCCACTTTGTGATGCTTCATATTTAGGGCGGCGTCTAACTCGCCTCTTATGGCCTGTAGATACATTTATCTGACACATTCCTGGAAACACAAAGACAGTCATGAATGTGACCTTTCCTGTTTATTGAAAGGAATTGAAAAGGAAAGGTGTGTGTGTGTGTGTGTGTGTGTGTGTGTGTGTGTGTGTGTGTGTGTGTGTGTGTGTGTGTGTGTGTGTGTGTGTGTGTGTGTGTGTGTGTGTGTGTGTGTGTGTGTGTGTGTGTGTGTGTGGATGAATATGAAACAAACCTTTGAAGCTAATCTCATACTGGGCAGAGTCAATGGTCAACTTAACTGAACCACGTTGGTTGTTTTGATACGCCGTCTCCAGTTCTGAGCTCTCAATTGGACTGGTTTTGCCCTATAGACACATACAATCAAAACATATTCATTAAATAATGATCACACTCATTCATGCATAATATCACTTTCATATCTATATAATATTATAGATATAACTAGGCAAACACAGGAAGTGAAACACATCAAATTTTTTTTAAATGTATATATAGGATACATTAAATGCTAGATATCACTTAGCCTTAGCCAGATAAAGCAGTCTGTGTTTTAATTCCAAAATGTATAGTCATTTCCAACACACTTTTGTTTTTGAAAAAGGTTAGTTCAGAAAAAAACAAAAAAAATGAAGAAAATGACAATATATCCATTGTTAAAACTAGGACAATTTAGTTAACTAGTGAGACAGTGAAAGTGTGTTTATTTTGCAGTCTGCCGGTCACATCCATGAGTGTAAAACTCACCTTCCCTCCATACTGGTACCAGCAGTGGTTACCTTTGTAATACCACAACCACTTTGTATCCTTTGAGCTCATACGTCGCACTGTAATATTCTTTTTTTTAAGAACTTTCATTTTAGTGAAATCAATCGAAATGACCCTGTAATGTGGATGAGAAGAAGTCAACATGTCAGTTATGTCAGTACTTATAGCTGCAATAATCGAGTTACAAGCACAGATTAACGGGATGTGGCCAAAACTGCAAATCTGGCAACAAATAGATAAATAATAATCATAAAAAATGCAGCGTGTTACAGCGTACAGGAACAAAATGTGGGAAAATATTGACAGAATATTCATTTTTGGGCGACTATTCCATTAAATATTTGTAAAAGTCTTGGCACACGCACAATAAATATGTATTTTTTTGCACATACCCGGCATGGGTGTTATAGATCGTGATTCCTTTGGTGTCGGGGAGGGAATACTGGGCTTCTAGAATGTGATCATGGGTAATGTTCTCCCAGCCCTTTCCAAAATTCAACTGCCATCTGTAGGGCCCGTCAAATTCTTCATCAGCTTCTGTATGTGATTACAAAAAAAAAACTATCAAATGACTACTGATGATTAAACATGCACACATCAATAGAAACACAAGCGTGTACAATATGAGTGATTGTAATTGTAATTATTACTATACATAATTACACAACATATCTCAAATGTATTTATCAATCAAATTCATTCCAGTTTTTTATTATTGTTATCGTTGATTTAATTAAACCTGAAATAAAATAATAAATAAAATGTATGAGATTAAATACTTAAAAAATGAAGAAAATGTTAAATATTAACTGCAAAAAATAAACTAAAACTGAAATACAAATAATTTAATCTAAATCTAAATAAATAAATAAAATGACAACTAAACTAAAACTGATAATAAAAAGTGAATTCAATATGAATAAATATTATAAAAAAAATATATTAATAATACTAAAGCCAATTCAATTTAGTCTTTGATCTCAGAGGACATATATTATATTATATTATATGTTATTTTATTTTATATTATATTATAGTTCTGGTCATCAAATCTGATTGGACAAGAGAAGTTCTGAATCCACCTGGTCAGATGAATTGTCTATCACATCAATATATTATATTATATTATAATATTTTACATTATATTATATAATATTAGAAGAACGTTTGGTGATTAGTCTACCGGTATATTAAGAGTTAACTGCTAACTGAATTTGGAATTTTAAATGAGTGTGTCCTTAGAGCCAGTGTGTATGAAAGCTAAGAAAAAAGTTTGCTTTTAAATTCTTAAGTACTTGCATGTGGGTGTAATTACTGGATCTATGTGTAATAATACATGTGGAAATGCTTTTTCATTTAAGTTTCTTTAACTTTTAATTGAGTGTTGATGATACAGTACCCATATTTGAATTAAAAAGTAGAATTTCTCGGTATCCTTTTCCACCCCCACCCACACATACCTGCAGTCGAGGCTCCGCTAGCTCGTCTGCTGTGTCCAGACGATGAACTCGGAAGGTTGTGGTTGAGATGACACCCGGCACCATACTTGCACGAACCCTTCAAAAAGTAACTGCATATGTGCTCCTTCCTACACTTGTCCCCGAAACGGCAGTTACCACGGTTGTAATGCATACAAACGTTACGCTTGAACACAAAATCAGAATTGATTAAGATTTATTCATTTATTAAGTTGCATTCACACTCAACAATGACGATTCTTTCTAATCTTTTTTCCCCCCACCACAATGGCTTTTGTTTCTGCTTTCCATTGAAATGCCTTAGATGTACCTTGCCAGATGTTTGTGTAGCTGCTTCAGTGCCAGATGTTTGTGTAGCTGCTTCAGTGCCAGATGTTTGTGCAGCTGCTTCGGTGTCAGAGGGGGAATCGGTGTCACTGTCACTGAAATCTGAGCAACTCTCACTAGATTGCTGACTGCTGCCTTCATCTAGGAAGAAAGGAGTGCTCTTTAATGATATGAGAACAATTTGAATCAATAATTGTAAATTGATTTTTAGACTGTTTGATGATAATGATAAAAATGTATGCATTTGAGATTTTACCAGTTGTCACACAGGGAAGGGCTTTATTTCACTTTTATCTACTAACGGTTGTTTTTTTATGAAAGTTTTATTTTATTTTTGTGCTACTTTTTAATTGTTATTTATGCTCATCAATGCTGCATATATTTGATTTGATTGAGTACGCTAAAAACATTATTATTGTGAAATATTATTACAATTATTAAAAGAAGCGTTTTCTATTACATAACATTTTAAAATGTAATATATTCCTGATATGGCAAAGCTGAATTTTCAGCAGTCTTCGGGTGTCACATGATCCTTTAGAAATGATATGAAATGGTGCTCCAGAAACATGATTTATTATCAATGTTGAAAACAGTTGTGCTGCTTAATAAATATATTAACGTAAATAAATATATAATTATTATTTAATCAAATAAGAATTACAAGTAATTTATACATTCTGTAAAAGTTTATCCAGACAGGGTTTCTTACCACATAGGGGGTGAACTTACCAGTGGCCATCTTATCCCTCTTTTAACATTTAACAACTAAATTAGCAAATGTTTCGATTTAATTCCTTTAATAACACACTGGCTGCACATGCTAAACTTACATCTAAATATGGTACAATTAAAAAAAAAAAAAAACACATTGTCCTTAATAAGGGAGGCATCTACCATTTACTAATATAAGCCCACATGCGTGTTTTTAAGATACAAAAATGCACCTTTGAGGAGTAAATAAGGTACAAAGGTGTAGCTACCATTTTAAAGGGTACCACACGACACACGTGACAACCTTTTTTCTGAGAGCTGTACTGGACGGTCACTTTTTAAATATTAGCCTGGGTTGTTTCACTTTGTTTCAACCCATGTTTGGGTCAAATATGGGCAAACCCAACCGTTGGTTTACATTTTTAAATCGAATTTTTAAACCCACCGGTTGGGCAAATCCATATTTGGCCAAAACATGGGTTGAAACAACCCGGCATAGCTCGTAGTCATAACGTTCTGGTTGCATAAACAGCGGTAGCAAGTTGCACAAACCGCAAATCTAAAGTTAAGAAACCCCTTACACAATACCATAAACAAAAATGACCTACAGGTGGTTCAACTTTGATTGATCAACTTTTAAGGAGTTTGTGGGCACTGCTTCCCATTGTGACAACATGCCTCGTTAGACTTTGCCTTTCCAAAATAAACACCCTGAGAAATGTTCACGGGAATAAAACTTGTCACAAGTAGTCTAGTTTTAGTGAAATATTTCTAAATGAGAATGACACCTTAACCAATGTGTCGATCGAAACCGCAGACAAGCTAGATCACTGCAATACTTGAGATGAACGTATTGGTGAAAGGTCTTCTAAGTAGGCTACTGACAGCTTACATTGTGTGTTTAATGCTCTTTTGTTTATTTGATATCGGAATAGGCTATATATTAAACTCACCTGAATCATCTCGATAGTTCGAAGCCATATTCCTAAATGAAACGCCCTTTGCACTCTTTCAGTTTCATTTTCTAGTAAATATGCTCGAGAGTAGGCAACTAAACAAGCAGGCTATCGTTGTTTTGACGAATTAATACATTATTTCATAATGGTTTTACTTAAAGATAACCCGTAAATGGTTTTAAATTCCATTTGAACTACAAAAAAAAAAAAAAATCCCTATTGTACAGCAATACAATTAATTTATCACTTCAAGAAGTTATTTTTCAAGATCTGGCGCCACCTGCAGGGCAGAAATCGTAAATGCAGGCGCTTTTAACAGCTTTAGCGGTGAGTCTAAATTTAAAGGGATAGTTCACCCAAAAATGAAACATTTTGTCATCATTCCTACTCACCCAAGTTGTTCCAAACCTGTATGAGACTCTTTATTCTGCTGAACACAAAAGAAGATGTTTTAAAGAATGTCGGTAACTGACAGTTGACAGTAGCCATTACACAAACCCCTTACACAATACCAGACTTATGTTTTAATTTGGAAGTCAATGGCTACCGTCGTCTGGTTAAGATTCTTCAAAATATCTTCTTTTGTGTTCAGCAGAAGAAAGAAACTCAACTTTCAAGTTGAGTTTCACAACTTGAGGGTAAGTAAACTTGAGGGTAAGTAAATGATGAAAAAATTCCTTTTTGGGCAAACTATTTAAAGCCCTCTTCTGAAACTGTTTCATGGTCTCATAAGCAAAAGTGTGTTTGAGGTGAAGTGGACTTTGTTTCTACTATTAAAAAAAGTTGTATGACACGAATAACATTTATCTAAAACAAAATAGAGCATTAGCATTAATAATTAATATGACTCTCATGGCACCACTTGAATATAGGGTAGAGTGGGGGAAAATGCCCCCCTGGGGTAAAACGCCCCCCACCCGTTTTTCCCAAAATAACCACTAGAATGAATCAAGATACATTTTTACTATTGCTATGCACTATACGTTGACAACGGGGATATACAAATCTCCATGGAGAAACTGACACCAGCGACGTATTTGAAGAGAAGAGGATTACATGGAAAGTGCTATAACTTTCAGATATTAATAAACAAGTTTTTAATAGAATATTGTTCACAGTGATATCACATTGATGTATGATAGATGAATAGTGATGTCTGTAGTTTGAGAGCATATGTTATTTATAAGGAATATAATTATATTTTTTTAAAATAAACAATTTTTTAAAAAGACATAGCTTGTGGGGTAAAACATACCAAAACATACAAAACATTTGGGTCAGTGGCAATTTAGTGGCTTTAAATTGGTTAAAGTATCCCCCTATGCTGAGGGGTAAAACGCCCCCCCAAGGGGCATAGTTTCTCTTTATCATAATTACTACAGTAACATATTTCTGTTCATCAAAGTCTTTATTTTACACTTTAATGCAGTATAACTAGGTGTTAAAATCAAAATATTTGAACAAAACATGAAAAAATTACCTCAAGTGAGCATTAGCTAGCTTGGTGAATGCAATGATGGAAGGTGGTTAGGTGACCCAATGATAAAACACAGTGACCTTTAATGCATTTATGGAATATATTTCACTATAAATATACTAATTTATGTTTAATATTTATTTAGGGTTTTCTGTTTTTCTTGATGATAGTGGTGAACAAATACTACATCAATTATCAACCCCATATAGGCCTAGTGTAGAAATCAAAATATTAAAATGTTAGAAATTTGGCTATTTTGTACATTGCTGAAATAAATATTAATAGGTATATATATATACATGTTGTTGCATTACTTGCCTTTTACTTTTAGAGATTAAAAACTATGTTCATTTTGCTGTTGATCTATGAAGCAAACTGGTTGGTAAGAAAGGGGGCATTTTACCCCACCTTGGGGGGCGTTTTACCCCACCGCTGGGGCAAAACGCCCCCTTTGTACAAAAATATTTTCAGTCAAAAAAAAAAATTATTATGAAGGTTGAGCAATTTTAATATTTGGTAAATAACTCCTGCCATAGACACTCAAAACTGGGATGGCAATTCTAGTCACATTTATGTTTTGTTTCACAATAATGTCACATTTTCCTTAAGGGGGGCGTTTTCCCCCACTCTACCCTAACCACAAAACTGTCGATGTACTTCTTCAACTGACCACTAGACGGCAGCAGCAGCAACAACAGTGAACTTCCCTTGCGCTCATTCATAATGCCTTCAGTTTAGGTATCAAAACTCCGTATTCAAATGACAGGTGTACATTTAAAATTCAAACAATGTTGCTTTTCTCACTTTTTATTTGAAGATTAAAACTGAAACTGTGGTTATCGTGTAAGGGAGGCATGTACTTTTCTGACAGGAACAACTGAAACACAGTATGTTTTGCTCTTTGTTTATACACACTTTAGCATTTAAAACGATAATTTTCTGTTGGCTTTGAGGTCATCTAGTTCTAGTGTACAAAGTAAATCTAATTGAATCTAATGTAAAACATGAAAGCAAAACCAGTTTAGAATATCTTATTTTCTTCCATATCTGGACTATGCTGTGAGTTTATAAAAGCACTGACCTCTTATAAAGGTAAATTAAACGCAATTTTGAGCTAGTTCCGGCAAGAATACATTCATATCACTTTAGGTCTTGAATTAATGTGTAAGTGCCTTTCAGTGTATAGAACAGACATGACAAAGGCTTTAAATTGGTTAAAGTATCCTAATATATGTTTGCACAGTAGCCTACTTAGCAGCAATAACAGCACTGAACTAAACATCTATAATTTAAAGTGAGCCATGCTCAGAGAAAGTAGGTCTTTAGTAGCTTTTAAGTTTCTGGAATATCCTATTATTGGAGCACTAGGAGGTGCTCTACAATTTAATCCAATCCACAGGTGACCCCCAAAACTCCAACACAGAAACTCTTATTCTGAACATAACACAACATTGTTTACAAACAAACAAACACAAACAACAAAGATGCATAAATAGGTCTTAAGTTCATACTATTTATTATCAGCAAATATTTGAAACTGTAGATTCACAGGTGTTACGGTCATGTGTTTGGTTGGGTCATGTGTTTGGTTTGGGGTGTGTTCCTTTTCTCTCTCATGTAGTGGCCTCGGCTGTATGAGTGAGTGGCAGCAGGTGTGCCTGATCAACACTCATTGTTTCTTGGAGGATAATAAGGCTTGGTATTTTCTTTACAGTATAGCTCTCTGTTTGTTTTGCCCTTGCTACCACACTGGGATCGCACGGCAGACCAACCTCATTCAACCAGTGGGTTGAACACCGACTTGCATTTATTTTGTGAGTTTAGAACAGTGTCCGGTTTAGTATTTGTTAACCTCCTTAGTGGGGGGAAGACTGTTTAGTTGTTAAGTTAATGTTGAACCTTGTTACTTAGCCTGTGTTTATTGTTTGTCTCATTCAGAGAGAGTGGTTTTGTATTGGTTTTTCTTTGTCAATATTGTAATACATTAACTTTTCAATTTGCACATAAACCTGACTTCCTGTTCTCTGTTTGCCCTGGTTTTATTTTAAATATTCTTGCTTCTCTTCTCCCTGGACTTACCATCTGGAGGAACGTAACAACAGGTCAAAACAGTTTCAAATAACGCGCGTCGATCGTTGCCGGAAGTCAGATGTTTTCATTTATAAAGTTTTAAATATGTATATTTTTACGACAAAACCGCACGGATTACCCTCAGAAGGCCTTAGTTTATCCCCCTGGAGCCGGATGGATTACTTCTGTGAAGGATGTGTGCACATTTTGGGACTTGAAGGAGGTGGACCCCAGTGCTTCACATTATATCCACTGAAGGGTCTAAGACATTTTCTAAAATAACTGAAAATGTGTTCGTCTGAAACAAGATTGACATATGCATCTCGAACGGCTTGAGGGTGAGTAATGGATGTGTTAAATATCATTTTTGGCCGAACTATCCCTGTACAGCTTTAGCGGTGAGTCTAAATTTAAAGGGATAGTTCACTCAAAAAATGAAACATTTTGGGTGAACATATATACATTTCCAAAGATATAAATCTAATATTTATATTTATGAAAACCTTCTGAATCTGGTTTTTAAATGAAAGTCTACATTTATTAATTTGGAGTGTTTTTGAGTTTACATTAGGCAATAAAAACTAGTTGAAATGATTATATTGGTCAAATGAAGCACTGCACGTTTTCTTTGTCTCCCTAATCAAACACACTTATCACATGGGTTAATTAACTGATGAGTTGAATCAGGTGTGTTTGATTAGGGAGACAAAGAAAACGTGCAGTGTTGGGGGTCCTCCAGGACAGGTTTGAAAACCACTGGGCTAGCCTACAGTATTTCTGCTCTTTGAAAGTAAAACACAAAGCCTCACAAGCACAGGATTCAGAAGAAATGTTTTAGGGGTACAATATTTATATGTGTTGCCTTTAATTACCATTTATAGTTTTTACACATCAGACGTACACATAGATACAGAAGCTATTGCATTCACTTGAAGAAAAAAAATCTACTCTGTTTTTCTGAATTAACGAGTTAATTATCTCAGAATTACAAGATATTTTTTCATGAAAAAAAAGTTTTTGCTGTTTTTCTGAATTAACGAGTTAAGTATCTCAGAAATTATGAGATATATTTTTTCTTGAAAAACGTTTTTTCACTCAAATGTTTTTATGAATTAATGAGTTACTCATAAATTTGAGATAATTAAGTCATTAATTCAGAAAAACAGAGCAAAAACTTTTTTCCATGAAAAATTATCTCTAATTCTGAGATAATTAACTCCTTTATTCAGAAAAAAAGAGTAGATTTTTTTCCTCAAGTGAATGCAACACGCTTCCGTACATAGACGTTTGATCGAAAACAGGTGAATTTGAACACTATTTCACGCGTGAAATACGCGTGACATAATTAGTGCATATTTTACGCGTGACATAATTAGCGCGTATTTTACGCGTGACATAATTAATATGGAACGCTAAAAGGCTCACAATGCGCCACTTTCCTACCACGTTTTGTGACATTTAACGCGTATTTTACGCGTGACATAATTAACGCTTATTTTACAGGTGATATAATTAACGCGTATTTTACGCGTGACATAATTAACGCGTATTTTACGCGTGA